CCAAAGTAAGTAAGTTTATATTATATATTTATAGGTAGGTGCTTGTTAAATAAAATTATAGTTCAAACGTATATTAAAGTGTTTGTAAAACTTTGCTTCTTCATAACCAATTTTTTAAGCTCTAATTTTGGCGTTTTATTTTATCTTTTCCTTTTCTTTAACATTTTTTAATATTTCCTTTCTTTTAATTCTTTTACTGAATTTTAACTTAAATATTTATTTTTTTTTTAGCTTTTAGACAACATTTTGGGATGAGCCCCCAATCACCCCAGGACCGTTCATGGACATCTAATCCTCTGGATATGGAATCATCATCAGCACAGAGCATCAGGACCACCACGACCACCAAAACCACCAGGACATCGTTGGACATCGAGGGAACGAGCCAGCTGACTCCGGATTTCCGAAGACTTCAGGGTTGGAAGACATCGAATTCCAGGACATCCAGGTACGAAAATTTCGAACTTCGTAGATTTCGAAGTTCGAAGATCGCAGGGTGCGGAGGCCTCGGAATTGGTAAGTCTGCGGAGTTCAAAGACTTCGGGTTAAGAAGTCTTTGCACTTCAGGGTCTCCAGGATTCGAAAATCCAGGGGTTGGAAAACGCCAAGTCCTTTGGCGGCTTCTTACTTCGAAATTTTCGAATTCGGGAAACTCTGATAGTGCGAAACTGCTTATCTCGAATACTTAGAAAATTTCTTATTTTTTCTTTATTATTNAGATCTTAAATTAAATAAACATCAAGTGCAAAGTCAAATAATGAAAGAAAAATGTTCTAAAAAACAACCAATTAGAAACTTACCCCGATTGAGTAATGTCCTTTGAAGTGGTCCAGGAATTGGTGATGATCGAGCAGTAGTTGATGTTCCTCCACTCTCTGATTCTGTAAAAGTCCTTAAGTTAGTAAAAGAAACGTGTTTAAATCTGGTAAAGGTAAAATAAAGAAAGTAGGTATTAATTTATATAAAAAAATAAAGGAAAGTATTAAAAGCAAACTAAATTAAGAGAAAGAAGACGAAAATTATAAAGAAAAGATCTTAAATTAAATAAACATCAAGTGCAAAGTCAAATAATGAAAGAAAAATGTTCTAAAAAACAACCAATTAGAAACTTACCCCGATTGAGTAATGTCCTTTGAAGTGGTCCAGGAATTGGTGATGATCGAGCAGTAGTTGATGTTCCTCCACTCTCTGATTCTGTAAAAGTCCTTAAGTTAGTAAAAGAAACGTGTTTAAATCTGGTAAAGGTAAAATAAAGAAAGTAGGTATTAATTTATATAAAAAAATAAAGGAAAGTATTAAAAGCAAACTAAATTAAGAGAAAGAAGACGAAAATTATAAAGAAAAGATCTTAAATTAAATAAACATCAAGTGCAAAGTCAAATAATGAAAGAAAAATGTTCTAAAAAACAACCAATTAGAAACTTACCCCGATTGAGTAATGTCCTTTGAAGTGGTCCAGGAATTGGTGATGATCGAGCAGTAGTTGATGTTCCTCCACTCTCTGATTCTGTAAAAGTCCTTAAGTTAGTAAAAGAAACGTGTTTAAATCTGGTAAAGGTAAAATAAAGAAAGTAGGTATTAATTTATATAAAAAAATAAAGGAAAGTATTAAAAGCAAACTAAATTAAGAGAAAGAAGACGAAAATTATAAAGAAAAGATCTTAAATTAAATAAACATCAAGTGCAAAGTCAAATAATGAAAGAAAAATGTTCTAAAAAACAACCAATTAGAAACTTACCCCGATTGAGTAATGTCCTTTGAAGTGGTCCAGGAATTGGTGATGATCGAGCAGTAGTTGATGTTCCTCCACTCTCTGATTCTGTAAAAGTCCTTAAGTTAGTAAAAGAAACGTGTTTAAATCTGGTAAAGGTAAAATAAAGAAAGTAGGTATTAATTTATATAAAAAAATAAAGGAAAGTATTAAAAGCAAACTAAATTAAGAGAAAGAAGACGAAAATTATAAAGAAAAGATCTTAAATTAAATAAACATCAAGTGCAAAGTCAAATAATGAAAGAAAAATGTTCTAAAAAACAACCAATTAGAAACTTACCCCGATTGAGTAATGTCCTTTGAAGTGGTCCAGGAATTGGTGATGATCGAGCAGTAGTTGATGTTCCTCCACTCTCTGATTCTGTAAAAGTCCTTAAGTTAGTAAAAGAAACGTGTTTAAATCTGGTAAAGGTAAAATAAAGAAAGTAGGTATTAATTTATATAAAAAAATAAAGGAAAGTATTAAAAGCAAACTAAATTAAGAGAAAGAAGACGAAAATTATAAAGAAAAGATCTTAAATTAAATAAACATCAAGTGCAAAGTCAAATAATGAAAGAAAAATGTTCTAAAAAACAACCAATTAGAAACTTACCCCGATTGAGTAATGTCCTTTGAAGTGGTCCAGGAATTGGTGATGATCGAGCAGTAGTTGATGTTCCTCCACTCTCTGATTCTGTAAAAGTCCTTAAGTTAGTAAAAGAAACGTGTTTAAATCTGGTAAAGGTAAAATAAAGAAAGTAGGTATTAATTTATATAAAAAAATAAAGGAAAGTATTAAAAGCAAACTAAATTAAGAGAAAGAAGACGAAAATTATAAAGAAAAGATCTTAAATTAAATAAACATCAAGTGCAAAGTCAAATAATGAAAGAAAAATGTTCTAAAAAACAACCAATTAGAAACTTACCCCGATTGAGTAATGTCCTTTGAAGTGGTCCAGGAATTGGTGATGATCGAGCAGTAGTTGATGTTCCTCCACTCTCTGATTCTGTAAAAGTCCTTAAGTTAGTAAAAGAAACGTGTTTAAATCTGGTAAAGGTAAAATAAAGAAAGTAGGTATTAATTTATATAAAAAAATAAAGGAAAGTATTAAAAGCAAACTAAATTAAGAGAAAGAAGACGAAAATTATAAAGAAAAGATCTTAAATTAAATAAACATCAAGTGCAAAGTCAAATAATGAAAGAAAAATGTTCTAAAAAAGAACCAATTAGAAACTTACCCCGATGTCCTTGAAGTGGCTCAGGAATTGGTGATGATCGAACAGTAGTTGATGTTCCTCCAGTCTCTGTTTCTGTAAAAGTCTTTATGTTACTTATGTTAAACAAAGGAAAATACTTGAACAGTAATGGTCCTTGAAGTGGTCCAGGAATTGGTGATGATCGAGCAGTAGTTGATGTTCCTCCACTCTCTGATTCTGTAAAAGTCTTTATGTTACTTATGTTAAACAAAGGAAAATACTTGAACAAGGCAAAAGTAAAGAAAAGATAGTAGGTATTAATTTACATAAAAAGATAAAGGAAGGGATCTAAAGCAAGCTAAACTAAAAGTAAAAAAAAGAAATATTATAAATAAAGAACTTAAACTTAGTTGACGAAAAAAAGATGATAAAAAGAATTAGTGTAAAACAAATCAAATACTTACTACTGGTCTCACTTAAGTCCTGACGATCCTAACGTTTGCCGATTGATGATGTAGTTCTTATTTGAAAAAATTGGTCTGGAAGATGAACGAAGTATAGATAGTCTTAAACAAAAGTGAGATTAGAAAAAAAATATGTTTTGAAAGTAATTATGAAATAAATAACGTTCACAGTGAAAATATCAAAGTACAAACCTAATGCAACAAAAATAAAAACGAAAACAACGTGCAATAAGAGAAAAAGGTCAGAAAACTGATGTAAGAAATTTCCCTGTACAATAATCAAAAAGTTGCAAATGTTTAATTAAAAGAATTATGGACAAATACTGTGAAACACAAAACTACTATAAATAAACTAAAAATAAAATAAATACTGAAATAAAAACAAGCAATTAATAGCTTACCACGATTGAAACGCGTCCTGATGTTCCTAAAGTGGTCCGAGGGTTGACGATGAACATACCATGTTTAATGTTCCTCCTGTCGTTGAATCTGTAAAAGGTCCTCAAGTTAGTAAAGGAAAAGTATTTAAACCTGGTAAAGGTAAAATAAAGAAGGTAGGTATTAATTTATATAAAAAAATAAAGGAAAGTATTAAAAGCAAACTAAATTAAGAGAAAGAAGACGAAAATTATAAAGAAAAGATCTTAAATTAAATAAACATCAAGTGCAAAGTCAAATAATGAAAGAAAAATGTTCTAAAAAACAACCAATTAGAAACTTACCCCGATGTCCTTGAAGTGGTCCAGGAATTGGTGATGATCGAGCAGTAGTTGATGTTCCTCCACTCTCTGATTCTGTAAAAGTCTTTATGTTACTTATGTTAAACAAAGGAAAATACTTGAACAAGGCAAAAGTAAAGAAAAGATAGTAGGTATTAATTTACATAAAAAGATAAAGGAAGGGATCTAAAGCAAGCTAAACTAAAAGTAAAAAAAAGAAATATTATAAATAAAGAACTTAAACTTAGTTGACGAAAAAAAGATGATAAAAAGAATTAGTGTAAAACAAATCAAATACTTACTACTGGTCTCACTTAAGTCCTGACGATCCTAACGTTTGCCGATTGATGATGTAGTTCTTATTTGAAAAAATTGGTCTGGAAGATGAACGAAGTATAGATAGTCTTAAACAAAAGTGAGATTAGAAAAAAAATATGTTTTGAAAGTAATTATGAAATAAATAACGTTCACAGTGAAAATATCAAAGTACAAACCTAATGCAACAAAAATAAAAACGAAAACAACGTGCAATAAGAGAAAAAGGTCAGAAAACTGATGTAAGAAATTTCCCTGTACAATAATCAAAAAGTTGCAAATGTTTAATTAAAAGAATTATGGACAAATACTGTGAAACACAAAACTACTATAAATAAGAAAGTAAGTATTAAAACATGGTCTAAGGTAAATATAAAAAGAAATAAACTATTTATAAAGGTTTAGAATTAAAGAATGAAAAAAATGATCTTAAATAGTTAGAGTATAGAAAGCAAACAATGTTTAGAAAAAAGTTCGAAGGTAGGTTAAAATAAGGCAATCAAAAGAAAAATAAAGTAAAAGTTTAATGTAAATATAACGCGAGAGGTTCAAAACGGGTAATACGAAAGTAGTTCTTAAGCTTGGTCTATAGCGAAAATAATAAAAAACTATTAAAACACTTAAGGCTAAACGATAAAAAAAGTTAAAATAACTAAGTTAGTAGTAAAGAAAGTGTGAAAAAAAATAAAAATAAAGCCTATTATAAAAATTAGGAAATAAAAGCTTACCTTTCTTTGAAAAGACATCCTGGCTATCCTGGAAGGACTCTCCTGAAATTGATTTGCTGCTGATATGGTCCCTACCTGGTTACTGGATGGGATAATGTACCTGAAAAAATATAACATCCCAAATCATTTCAAAATAGTCCGCTACTGAATAATTTATGGTTAAAATAGAGAAAATGGTACACTAGTAAAAAAGCGCACGTTAAATTATGATTAGACGAAAACGATCTACTGAACTTTAAAAGGGGACAAATATGTAAAAAGGTTAGCAGCATTTGATAGTGTCTTTAGATTCCAAGTACGATTTCAAATAAGTCCTATACTAAATTATTTAAGATTAAAATAGGCAAAACGCTGCACAAATAAAGAAGCGCTCGTTAAATTATTATAAGATAAAAACACCCTTTCCAACTATAATAAGAGACGGACAATTATGTAAAAAGGTACGTAAAATTTAGTGATGCCATCAGATTTCGAGTGCAATTTCAAATAACTCCGCTACTTAATTATATATGGTTAAAATAGAGAAAATGGTGCATAAGTAAAAAAGCCCCTGTAAATTCAAAAGAAATTTTTAGTTGCTATTTATATCAAGACAAACAAAATGTCTTGTTTTCTCAGGCGATCGTTCAAGCATACGACTGCTTCACAAGAGAGTAAGATACAAAATTTCGCTTGGAAAAATGTTATAACTATTCTTAACTACAAAAACAGCATTATTATATTTAAAAGTATGTATTAAACATAGGTTACATTCACCTAGATATAATCATACAACATACAAACAATGAAAAAGCTTTCAGCTTTGGTAAAGTTAATCACTATATCCCACACATTACAAAATAGATAAATTAACATATTTTTTTTTGTAATACAAGACTAAAAAAGCTTAATTCATACAAAAATAATGCATTAATTTTCAAAACAAATTTCTAATGTCTCTCACAATCAGTCGACCNACGTTAAATTATGATTAGACGAAAACGATCTACTGAACTTTAAAAGGGGACAAATATGTAAAAAGGTTAGCAGCATTTGATAGTGTCTTTAGATTCCAAGTACGATTTCAAATAAGTCCTATACTAAATTATTTAAGATTAAAATAGGCAAAACGCTGCACAAATAAAGAAGCGCTCGTTAAATTATTATAAGATAAAAACACCCTTTCCAACTATAATAAGAGACGGACAATTATGTAAAAAGGTACGTAAAATTTAGTGATGCCATCAGATTTCGAGTGCAATTTCAAATAACTCCGCTACTTAATTATATATGGTTAAAATAGAGAAAATGGTGCATAAGTAAAAAAGCCCCTGTAAATTCAAAAGAAATTTTTAGTTGCTATTTATATCAAGACAAACAAAATGTCTTGTTTTCTCAGGCGATCGTTCAAGCATACGACTGCTTCACAAGAGAGTAAGATACAAAATTTCGCTTGGAAAAATGTTATAACTATTCTTAACTACAAAAACAGCATTATTATATTTAAAAGTATGTATTAAACATAGGTTACATTCACCTAGATATAATCATACAACATACAAACAATGAAAAAGCTTTCAGCTTTGGTAAAGTTAATCACTATATCCCACACATTACAAAATAGATAAATTAACATATTTTTTTTTGTAATACAAGACTAAAAAAGCTTAATTCATACAAAAATAATGCATTAATTTTCAAAACAAATTTCTAATGTCTCTCACAATCAGTCGACCGTTCTAGCATACGTACGACTTCTTAATGAGAGAGTAAATATTCGGAGAATAAAAGATAGAAAATTACGCTTGAGAAAATGTTATAATTATTAAGTATAAATGACAACCACCTCCGTAATGGTATAGAAATTAAATAAAAATGAAAGAGCTTTCAGCTTTGGTTTGTTAATCTGTTAATATTACATTCCACACACTACATGATAGATAAATTACCATATTCTCCTTCTAATACAAGTCTAAAAAAGCTTAATTCATACAAAAATAATGCATTAATTTTAAACAGTTTATCTCTAATTGCTATTTAGATATATCAAGTAGAGGGAAATGTTTCTCAGCCGACCGTTCAAGCATACGTATGACTGCTTGATGAGAGAGCAAGTATTCGGATAATAAAAGATAGAAAATTGCGCTTGGAAAAGTGTTATAACAATTCTTAACTATTGCTTTATTATATCTAAACATATTAACTATAGGTGACAACCATCTGCGTAATGGTATAGCATTTAAACATTGAAAGAGCTTTCAGCTTTGGTACGTTAATCTCTTAATCTTACATTCCACACATTACAGGATAGATAAATTACCATATTCTCCTTCTAATACAAGTCTAAAAAGCTTAATTTATACAAAAATAACGCATTAATTTTAAAAACAAATCTCTAATTGCTATTTAGATATATCAAGTCGAGGGAAATGTCTCTCACTCGACCGTTCAAGCATACGTACGACTGCTTGATGAGAGAGCAAGTATTCGGATAATAAAAGATAGAAAATTGCGCTTGAGAAAAGTGTTATAACAATTCTTAACTATAAAAATAGCTTTATTATATCTAAACATACTAACTATAGGTGACAACCATCTCCGTAATCGTATAGCATTTAAACAATGAAAGAGCTTTCAGCTTTGGTTCATTAATCTCTTAATTTTCATTCCACATATTACAAGATAGATAAATTACCATATTCTCCTTCTAATACAAGTCTAAAAAGCTTAATTTATACAAAAATAACGCATTAATTTTAAAAACAAACCTCAATTGCTATTTATATCAAGACGAGGGAAATGTTTCTCAGTCGACCGTTCAAGCATACGTACGACTCCTTGATGAGAGAGCAAGTATTCGGAGAATAAAAGATAGAAAATTGCGCTTGAGAAAATGTTATAACAATTCTTAACTATAAAAATAGCTTTATTATATTTAAAAATATCAAATATAAATTACAACCGCCTCGCTGGTGGTTTAGCTTTCAAACAATGAAGAGCATTCAACGTCGGTTCCTTAAAATCCCGAAATTACTCCCCGAAATATAACTAATCGTAAATAAACAAAGTAACAGTTACTATTTATAATCCCCTAGAGCCGATCCAATTTTCCCTATCATTCGTATTAGCGTTTTCCTGAGTCCACAGGATGACCCATATTTTTAGGCTGAGTGGTCCAATTTTCATGGAAGTATAATCAAAATTTTCTAGTGATACCGTGCACTGTGTCAAAAATAAAAGCGCCCACCTAAGATATTACGATTTATAGTTATACCTGTCGGACGTTTTGGCCAAGTGTTATGTTTGAAAGCGAGAATCAAATGTTTAGGAGAACATATCTGGCGAATTATCAAAGATAGTGCAAAAATTCTTTCAGCAGCGGTTGACCGGTACCGTCGCGAAAAGGGAAAACTTAACTTCAAAAGAAAATATAGTATATAAATACTTTTAAAAATTTTGAAATTTTCATGAACACTGAATGCGACCCCATTACGTTCCCACTGAGACGGAACATCCAACTGTGAAAGAATTTTTTCGAGAAGACCAACAATTAGCAAGCCAATTGACTTTCTGTTGCAAAGAGGAAAATTTTATTGTGCATCTAAATTTAATATTGGTTGAAAGGTAACCGGCTTGTGAGCTACTTTCATCGGTTTTCCTAAAACCACATTTTCGTCGTAGTATTAGACCGTTCAAATTTGGAAATTGCACAGAAAGTGTATGAGATTGTAAATCATTTCCTTCAATTTCGATGGTACTACATCAAAATAAATAGCCACTAGAAACCCAGAATTTCACAAAGGATTTAGAAATTAAACCCAAGGTGACATCCTCAGTTATATTATAGACTTAGTCTTAGATTTCCAAACGTTTTGTAAAATTTTTGGATTTTAGTGTTTATTTAGTTGATTCCACAATATATGTTCGACGTACAAATGACAAGAATTAGTAAAAAATTAGTTCGAAATGAAAACGTAAAAAGGTGAGAGCTTTCCAAGTAGTGGAAATCACCGCCCATAGCGCATCTTTCACTACCTCAGAAAATAGATGCAAAAATAATGTTAAATCATTACCTTCAATATTTGAAACTTGAAATTATAACAATATTAAAAATAATCAGTTCAGTCCTTTTGTATTTAAAAGATATAACAAAGTACGACGAAAAACTATTATGATATAAGTAATTGAAATACTCACCGTTGGTAGGGTAGCAACCTATGCAGGTCTTCTAGCAGATCTTCACCTCCATATAGAGAAATAAACCAAAAACAACTGCAACAAAAGCAAAGAATATAAGTGTTTAGAATGTGCTAATTTTCGTAAAAACTTCATAAACGGATAATTCTTTACGTATCTTTAAAAATTAAAACGTTCTCTTGTGATCGATTTTAACAATAATGGTCCATTATAATCATTAATTAAAAATTGACTATGATAATCTGGAATAGTATACCATCCCAGCCATTAAATAATGTTTTATTCTCTTTCAACCATACGACCGTTTGATGAGAGACCAAGTATTCGGAAAATAAAAGATAGAAAATTGCGCTTGGAAAAACCTTATAACTATTCTTGAGTACAAAAATAGGTTTATTATATTAAAAAATATTAAATATAGGTTACAACCACGTCGATAATGGTATATAATTCAAACAATGAAAGATGTGTAACCTTTGGTTCGTTAATCTCCAAAATTATCCCTCACACATTACAGAATAGATAAACTGGCATATTCTCCTTCTAATACAAACTTATAAAAGCTCAATTAATACAAAAATAATGGATTAATTTTCAATACAAATTTCTGATTGCTATTTGCATCAAGACGAGGAAAACGTCTTGTTCTCTCGATCGACCGTTCAGTCATACGACTGTTTGATGAGAGAGCAAGTATTCGGAAAATAAAAGATAGAAAACTACGCTCGAGCAGAAGCTAAAACTACTCTTAAATAGAAAATAAGTTCCGTTATTTAAAAAAAATTNAATATTAAATATAGATTACAACCACCTCGATGATGGTATATAATTCAAACAATGAAGAGCTGTCAGCTTTGGTTCATTAATATAAAAAAAATTATCTCCCATACATTACAGAATAGACAAACTGGCATACTCTCTTTCTAAAATAAGTTTATAGAAGCTCAATTCATACAAAAATAATGCATTAATTTTCAATACAAATTTCTAATTGCTATTTATATCAAGACGAAGGAAATGTCTCTCACAATCAGTCGACCGTTCTACCATAAGTACGACTGGTTGATGAGAGAGCAAGTATTCGGATAATAAAAGATAGATAATTGCGCTTGGAAAATGTTATAACTATTCTTGACTATAAAAGGAGCTTAAATTATTATTATTTAAAAATATTAAATATAGGTTACAACTACTCCTATAAGGGTATAGCATTCAAACAATGAAATATTTGTTAATCTTCGAAATTATCCTCCACACCTTACAGAGTAAATAACGTGTAAATAGATTGATGAGAAAGCAACAAATCGGAGAATAAAAAATAGAAAATCATGCTTGGAAAAATGTGTAACAATTCTTAACTATAACAAATATTTTCATGATTATATTTAGAAATATTTAGTTAGAACCACCTCGATAACGGTGCAGCATTCAAACAATGAAAAGGCTTTTATTCAGTAATTTCCGAAATTACCTTCCAAATGTAACTAATTGTAAATGAATAAAGTAAGAATTTCTCAAATATTAATGTGAAAATTCGTTTTCCATTTATACCAACTATAAATTACCTCAAGTTAATGAGGAAAAATTTGACGTTGTTGTCACACCCTCGCCAGGAAGACTTCCTGTTTGTAATACTAGTGCGAAGAAATTTATTCATATAGAAGTAACGCTTTAACTTTTAAAACAAAATAATTGGTAACTTTATTAAGACCTGCAATTACTATTTGTGTTCACATGGGCTTTTCATATTTTCAGCTAAACAGGTTGATTACTCGGAAAATCAAAGATGGAAAACGTGATAAAAATGCAAAATATGGTCTATTTCTGAAGAAATTCTATTTTATATAATAAAAACAAATTACGACAAACTAGAACGAATGAAAAAATAAACAACAAAATAATTTTCGAACTCTGCTCAGTATCAAAATCTATCATTACTTTAAGTTTTTCATACAACATAATTTTAATTAATTTATAATGACTACATCAGTTGCCTTATTTTTAACAATTCCCATTGTATCTTATCTTTTCGTGATCATCACATTATACATATGTTTAATTGGAAGAATCGCACATCATAGCTGCTGCTACGGATCCCTCAATCAATTAAAATCCACAATAATTAGATAAGTAGCTATAATTAATTTATAAATCATATAACACTTTAATGCAGTCATTTCTTTTTGACGTAAAACTACGCTTTGCTTCGCTTTATTATAAGACGTTAAACGTGACAGCGAAAACATGTTTTCTACACATACAGTAGGCCGTGAGGGGCGGTACAAGCCGCCCCATTACATCAGCCTCAGAAGTCTTTCATAATCATTTTAGGAAGTTGAAAATGTGACATCGAAGACATGTACCCTACACTTTCAAAGCTTGTATCCTACAATCAGTGGCGTATTTACCTTAGGGTCTGGGATGCTATGACTTGGGGCAGTAGGCTACAAGGGTAGGTGCAAGCAGCCCCATGTGCTCAGCTTTGGACGTCTTAAAAGTTAAAAATTCGGCAACGAAAACATATCTTAGGACCATGGGGACCATGAATCGGGGCAGCCTGCTAGGGGATGTATAAACCACCCCATTATATCAGCTTCAGACGTCTTTCATAATCATTATGAGAAGTTAAAAATGCGACATCAAAAATATATTGCTTACACGTTCAAATATAATATTTACAGTCAGTGAGCATGGGGACCATGACTAGGGGTAACAGACTATGAGGGTAGATGCGAGGCGCCCCTTGCAGCCTACATTTGGGGCTTTTTATAATCGTTACCTGTTTACAGTTTACAGACTAAATTATTATAAAATCAATTTAATTTCTTATTCCTTCAAAAGTAAGGATTATCTTTTTATTCGGATTTAAGGATATTATAAAAATGTGGTCAACCAGGCCGAAAGTTTGGAAATAACCAAGTTGCTTTCGCCGTTTTCCAGAATCTGTAGAAAAGAATAACGAACAACTAAAACTATGAAAAAATAATAATAGAGACTTTTTTTCATCTTAAAATTAAGTTGTGTCACATACCAGTTTTTTTATTAAATAATAAGATGGTTATGTAAAGAACNACTTAGCAATTCTTCTAGAAATTATTTAATTGTAAATGGTGGTAAAACTTTGAATAAAATGCATCAAAAACTAAACAAAATAGTAATAATGTTCTTTTGAAAAATGCAAATTTTGACGAATAAATTGTTGCTGAATAGTTACAAAATACGATTTTTTCACTAAAACATGCCTTAATTTATGACATACATGGTGAGTGCCTCAATTATTGTTCTTCCGATTGAAAATTATTTTGGATCATAGAAAAGTGCAAACCTTAATACGTAGTATTTCTGCCTGAAACCGATTTCTAGACGCCGAAAATGACTACAATATTTAATTTTTCTGGACTTATCGAAGGTAAATAAACTTCAGTTATCTACACTGTAGTCCACCTAATATTAATCGGTTTAGACTGTCAGAAGGAGGAGGAAATCTTATTACAACTATTTTTTGCTTACAAGTAACAAGAAATTTATAACACCCAAGTCAATTATTTTTATTTTAAACCACTGAAAAGATTCACTACCTACTTCGAAAATTTATATACCTATGTCTACTAAATTGTAAAAATAAACTTTTATGAAAAAGTGCACCCCGTAGGCAAAGAGCCCTCCTTAGATTAATCCGCAGCTACCTATGCAATTCAAAAGTTATCTATAAAACATTTAAAACAAGGCGTTAAATACTGATTGTAACTAATCTACTGATAGGTATTTCACACTAAAAGTAATATAATGATAAATTCTGATCAATCGTTATACTTTTCTTTAAGTAGTAATGTCAGGTTTTGAGTGAGAAAAAAAATATGAATTTATGAA